CCCCCCCCCCCCCCATGCCAGGAACAGCATGGCAACACCCCAGCCCACAGCAGCAGTCCCTCCGCCCTGTGCAGATGCAGGGGCACACCTCCACCCCTGCGCTCCTGGGGTGTGTGCACCGACAGGAGCTGCCCCCCTGTGCCCCTTGGACAAGCCGCAGCTCTGTCCCATGTCTGCCCCGCCCCACCCCAGCTGGGCAGCCCTTGTTCCAGCCCCGCTCCCTCTCTCACTGCAGGAGCCTTGATCTGCCCCCCTTCCTTCCTTCCACCACAACAGACTTACCAGCTGCACACAGCTCTCCAAGCTGCTGGGCTGTGCTTCTCACTGCCTACATGCTGTGCTGTGGCTGCACGCATGCACAGGCCATTTATTGGCCGAATTATTGGCCACATCAGGCCAATTTCTGATGCAGTTAATTTTCTTCATATCGATGCCAATCCCATATTGGACTGATGTATCAGTACACCTCTAACCACAATGGTGTTTCACAAACTGCCTCTTATATCTAATTATTTTTTCGTGTTTCAGAAACCACCAGCAAGTGAGAAGGCTTGATAAAAATCCAGAATGTTCCATTAAACCCCTCCCCACCCCCAAAAAATAAATAAAGCAAAACGATAAAATCAACAAAGAAAAGAAAAAGCCACCATCAAAGGCTACTCTGGAGTTTCCAGCCACAACACAGAGAAGGATTTATAATGCGCATACATACTGACCCATGTGCTACCTATATTTAGTGGAGATACTAGGATGGAGCACCTACGGCAGCTGCCATGGGTGCCAACTTGGAGGGGGAGGAGCAGATGAAACAGCTATGCAATTGTACCAATGGTGTAGTAGCAACCAGAAGTTGCTGCTACCCCTAGCTGCATGAACACAGCTACGCTGTTATGCCTCTGCCTATACTCTCAAGAAGAATCCTTTTCCAGTCGCATAAAGTAGGCAGCACTGCTTCCAAAAAGCAATTTTTTATTTCCATTCATGTCACCTAAAGCTTATGCCTCTGTGAGTCAGAAAAGCAAGATTAGAACCTGACCTAGCCATGCTGGGACCAAAAAGTGTTGAAGATTATACATGAGAACCTATGAAAGGATAATTTGGTGAGGAATGGAGATGATAGCAGAAAAAGAAAAGGAAGAGAGAAAAGCAGAGACTAGAGGGGAGGACCCCAAGAGCGGTGAAACCAGTAGAGCGGTGGTTCTCAAACTTTTTTTTTTTGTGGACCACTTGAAAATTGCTGAGGGTCTCTGTGGACCACATAAACTTTTTTTTGTTCTACAAATCAAAGCACATGACTCATATTTTAATATCAGTAGTCTTACCTTACAAGTACAGATATTCTTGATTGTTCCGCAACCTTTCTGTGGACCACCTGAATGGAGCTCGTGGACCAGTGGTGGTCAGTGGGCCAGTTTGAGAACCTCTGCAATAGAGGGTTCCCCTTCAGGGAGAAAAACAGTGACTTTGTAGATGGCAAAAAGGAAGAGCTGGTTAGAGGGTGACAGGCAGAGAGGGCACGGCTCAATTTTAATGTTTCTAGATCCAAATGATGCCTACCTTCTATTTGCTTTGATCAAAGCAAACTCCAAACTATGGAGGATTAACTGTGTTTTTATTTCCCTTTTTGTTACTTCCTCTTACCATCGCTGCAATGAACTTACGCTTCCACTCATCCAGTGGCAGGTCCATATTGTCAAATGTGTCATCGTATTTCTCTGCCTCGTTTTCCTCTTCAAGATCATGAATTGGTTCAAAATAAGGGTGTATTAAAGCTTCTGCTGCTGTTATCCTCTTCTCTGCATCTAATACCAGCATCTTCTCCAAAAGGTTTACAGCTGTTCAACACAAGCCAAACACTACCTTCAAATAATGCTGCCGAATCTATCTTGGATTAACAAAGCTGCTGTGGTGCTTTTGGGTTTTTGTTTTTTTTAAAATTAGATGATTACAAAGACAAGCTATTTGGGCTTCAATTAAGATATTTGTTATTTTAAAGACAAAATAAAGGTAAAGTAGTATTTTGCAGCTACCAAGTTACTAGATCACTGTAATACTGTATTTACTAGATTCTAAGACAAGCCCCCCCAACATAGGAAAAAAAGGCCCTTGTCTTGGAATCGAGTATGAGGGCAGTGCAAGGGCAGGCAGCTGCTGTTTCTCAGGCCCCAGCCCCTACCCCTAACCAGGGCTGAGGCCATAGCTGCAGCTGCTGTTTGTCCATCCCCTCTCTGGCCACTTCTGTGCCCTGCCATCTCCCCCCACCCATTCAACCTCTCCTTCCCACACTTTACCCTTGGGCTCTGAATCATCAAACTCTATGGACACTGCAGCCTGGGGCACTGAGCACAGCCCCAGCACAGCACTGTAGCAGTGGTGCACAGCCTGCAGGGCTGCTATGGGAGCTGGTCTGGGGCCATGTTCCATGCCCCACACTAGAACAGGATGGAGGCTGCCAGTGTAGAGCAGAGGCTAGGGAGAGGGGCCAAAGCAGAGGCTGGGGGGAGGCCAGGCAGGAGGTAGAGGTAGCAGGGGCAGGCACAAGCAGGAGGCAAGCTGCCTCCCCACACCACCTGCCTCGCTACAGCCTGCCCCTCTGCAATGGTGGGAGGGATGAATTAAAGATGTCCCTCTGATAATTAGAATCTTTATATAGAAAATTATAACAAGTTAAACAATTTTCTATGTATAGAATCTAATTACTAGGGGATTGTCAAATTCAAGGTCATCTTAGATTCAAGTAAATATGGTATTCCATTAAAAAAAAGTCTTAATTATGGGTAAGATCTCAGGGTAATCTGTGTGTTTTACCAGATCTCAGCTTTTACACCTTTCAAAACATGAGTGAAATCACCTGTGTGGAACTGCAGCACTGATAGTCTGAGATGCGTATCCTGGATCTGATCCAAAAGCCAGAGGAAAATCAATGATTTTTTAAAAACATTTCCTTCAGTTGGTTTTGGATCAAGTGCTGTACCAGTTTACTGAAACAGTACATTATCTTGAGCAGCTTATAACTGTCAACTCAAAAACAGCTTTCTTTGGAATACTTGTACATTTCTCAGTGAGAACTATTTCCACAACAAGGTTCAGTCTTCATGTTTCTGTTGATTAGCCCTTTCTGTTGTGTAGGTGATCAGAAAAGGCTTTAAGAATGATATTTTAGCATAACAGAAAATTAACTTTTTTTATTTGTTTCGTTTTCTGATCATCACAAAGGGTTTGATTCAGCAAAACATGCACACCTGGCATGGATTTGGGTCTCTAGCACAAACTACTTTTGATCAATTTTCCTAATAAATGCAAAGACCAGCCTTGCTAGCTCAGTCTTAAGGTGAAAGTTAAAAGCAACAGAGAGGAAAGGGTTGGAATAAAATAAGTAGCGTCATGTACTTTTACTTCTAACAGTTGATACCTTCCTTTTGTAATACGACAACAGTAGCTGTACACATTCACAAGCATTCTTACCCAAAGGATTTGTGTACTTCAGGATGGATGCAAAGTCTTTTTTCTGCACCTTTGGGAGGCTTTTGATATAGTTTTTTGCCTTAAAAGAAAATGAATTTCAGTTAGAACATTTCTTACCTCATAGTATAAAAAGGAAGAAAAGTCTGAAAAGCGAAGGTACAAGTTTTAAAGATACAGAAAGACTATCAGTTTTCTAAATACATTATTCTAAGCATATAATTCATGCACTCAGTGTATTCTTCATAAAAAGTAGTAATAAACTCAATTAGAGCTGTTTATATGCTACACGTAAGAAATATTAAAAAGTTTGGGCTATGTATTTTCAAGTGTCAACCTTTAGGCAGTACCAGGGGATTTTCAGAGATGTTAAATACTTCCCGCTTCCACTGACCTCAGCAGAAATTCTAGAAGGACAGGCTGCTTCAGCACAGGTAATCAAGATTAGAAGACATAGGTGAAAGTGTTATTATCCTACTGTATAATTTACACAATTTCAATGTTTAATAATGGCATTTAACTAAATAAACCAAAGCAATAATATTTAAAAAACATCTTTAAAACTTTTACAATGTGATTCAGGGAACAGTCTTCCTTTAAATATTTTTGTATCTGCAACTACAACAATCTGACAGAGTAGAATACTCACATCTTGACTTTGTAGCTTCTGAACAAAGTCTTGAGTTGGTGTGCCTGTTATCTTCATTATTTCTGTAAGTTGATCCAGATCTGAATATGAACAGTAAGGAATCAAGACACAAAAGCCCAATAAAAATTATGCAATTTCCTTGCATTTGGAAATCAGGGTGGAACCCACAATATAAAGGTGAAACAAGGAATTTACAATCTGCTGAGATAAGGGTTCTATGTTCTCTTGTATTATCTTATTTTATGGGCCATATTAAGTCTCTGCCTGTAATTTCTCAATAATGGAGTGATGCAGTTATATTTTAAATAAATGAAAAGCTTCTCAACAGATCATAACATTTCTGAACAAAAAGAACCTTGAAAAGACCTTGAAATGTGTGGACACAGAAACTGATGCGCCCACACATACATTGGTCTCTATATACACACGCCAGCTTATCAACAAAAATCAAAGGCCTGCTCCAATTTAAAAGCCTATTGAGCAAATGGAGTACATTCATTTCTGCAATCAATGGCATTCAAAGGAGTGAGGTGGCATCACTTCCAGACATGTCTGGCTTGTTAGGCTAAATGACCAGGCAACCAGATACACCTGGGCTGCCTAGTGATAGCTGTCTGCAATTTGTCCAACTCAAGAGCCAAATTCTTGGCTCTGAACTTGTAAGAAGACATTAACTTTACCACCAAACCAAATATCTCTATTGAAGTAGCCCAAATGACCAAGGCTAAAATATCAAGTAATTTGCCCAAGTGTTTAAGAGAGAGAAAATTTAGACTATTAATGAACTGACATCTGCTTTAAATCTATGTCTATTATTTTAAACTGAAACACACAGACACCTACATGCTCTTCATATTTTACTAGTAGGAACTCAACACAAAAGGATACGATCATTTCCTTTGAACAGTGGCCTCCCTGTTATCATCTCGGCCATTATGCAGCCCACTGACCAGATGTCAACTGAAATAGAAAATAAATAAATAAAAAAATGACACACACACACACACACACACACACACACGTATATATACACACATATACACACACACAAACATTTTTCTTTTATATATATATTATATGCATTGAATTATATATGTAACAAAATGCATATAATATATATAATAAAATGCATATATTTTATATGCATCAACAACACAAAATTGCTAAATGATATATTTAAATCCCCCTACACAACTAAAATTCAGTTTCATTTTATTACATTGTTTGAAAAATAAATTCTTTTGGTTAATTCTTCATACCAAAAGTATTTGTTTATTAAAAGTAAGGGGGAATATACAGTTAACTGCTATTTACAATTACTGCAAGAAAGAACATCTGTCTTTAGAGCGAGAGGGTTAATTCCTTGATTACAAACAGATGCAAGTAGGAGAGAATTCTTTTATGCTTTCACAAATATTCTACAGCTGTCTCCATATTACTTTAGTTATCTGTCCTTGCTTAATGGTGTAGTTTCCCCTTCCGGTTAGGATAATGACAGAAAGATTTCTGAGGCCATATTTGTACAGTAAATTTATCATGACTAGCAGGAAAAGCTGAGTTGCTTTGGAAGGGCTGCCCATAAATCTGAAGCAGTTCAGCCAGGTCTATGTGGCACTTTGAGTGGGTTTATTAATACCGTTAAGCAGGGATCCTGGTTTTACTTTTCCCATAGAAAAACAGAAAAAAACACGGATTTCCCGTTTTTATCAGAGAAAACATGGATTTCTCCTTTTAGAAGAGAAACCCATGGATTTCCCCTTTTTGCAAAGAGCTCTGCAAGCTGGCTGAGTTCCAGCTTCCAAGAGCTATTTGCCCTGGAGCAAGCAGGCTGCAGACCCCCTCCTGGCCGGACTGCCCCGCCAGCTGCAAACCCTGGGTTGCAAATGCTGTGCTCCCAGCCCTGCTGCCCTCCCCCAGACTCTCCAGAGTGCAGCGTATGTGACTTGCACAGCAGGCCACAGCAGGGCCACACATGAAAGCTGCCTGCTGTTGCAAGCTTTATGCTGCCCTGGCCACACTGTGCATGGGGGCAGCACACACCCATCCTTCCCCCACCCTTCACACAGATCTGGGGGGGTGCTGGCTCGTGCTCCTGCTGTAGCAGCCACTGCCTTCTGGGACCCTGGCCCCATAGCCCTGGCAGCTGGGGGCCCCCTCCAGCAGGGCTGGGGAGCAAGGGGCACAAGCAGGGATGGAGGGCTGTTGAGGGGGAGTGAGGGACACCAGCAGGGCTGTGGGGGGCATTTAATTCTAATCATTGATTTTTGGATTTTTATTAGAGAATTTGCAATTTTTTATCACAGAATTTGTGATTTTTTTAATCACAGAAAACCAGGATCCCTTCTGTTGAGTGATTCACAGATACAGTTACACTGCTTCCAGGTTAAAAGGCAGTCTAAGAGGCAGCCTGGGCAAAACAATTCAGAATACTTGATGGTAGTGATGTCAGACATAGTAAGCTTATTGTGCTCCCATGGCCCAAAGGTATGGACTGTACAATGGTAGAACTGGCTACCGCATGCACACAACTTTGGATTGCCTTTCTTTCTGCCTACAATGCAGCTTAATTTTTTTGAGAAGTAAAGTAGAATTATCTGAAATTGTAAAACAAGGAATCTATTTTCATTGCATTATTGTTTGCATTTTCACATATTTTTAATACTAATTTTTCACTTAAGGAACAAAAGACATTGCTAAACACCAATAAAGCAATCTTTATTCAATGGGTGCCTGGTGCTAAGGTCTTCTAAGAGATGTTGATTGTAGTACATGAACACATACACTACCTGTCTGAGTATAATGCATCCAATTAAGTATGACTTCTGGGGCTCTGTACCACCTGGTAACTACATAGCCTGTCATTTCACTGTCAGTATGCCTCGCCAGTCCAAAATCCAAAATCTGTAAGGGAAGCACAAAATAAAAGTACAACACAAATTACCTATCCATTTCATATGGAACTCCCAAGTGTTCTTTTCTGCATTTTAAACCAAATTTTTTGGACACACATTCATTCCAACTTTCTTTTCAATAAGGAATGAGACTGACTTTATTTTTCAATTAAAAGATGAGATATTTCCCCCCATTTAACATGGGGGAAAAGCTTAGACTCAAGTATGAGGCATTGGGGCACGCAGCTGCTGTGGCTCCAGCTTTTGCTCTGGTCCCAACGTAGGGTTAGGGCTGGAGCCATAGCTGCTGCCTGCCCCCGCCACCTCTACATCCCCCACTGCTCCTCCAAAGCAGCTTGCTCCCCCAACGCTGTTTCTTTCCTACTCCTCCTCTTCCCTCAGCACAACCCCCTTTACCTTTGCCCGGGTGCCACATGAAGCATGAGCCCAGCCCAGCCCAGCCCAGCCCTGTAGTGCCAGCTGCCTGCAGCTGCAATGGGGCCAGGTGGGGACTATGTTCCAGGCTGCAGTGAGGATGGAGCATGCTGGCACTGGAGCAAAGGTAAGAGGCAGATGAAGGGGCAGAGACTTTGGGATGGGGGAAGATGGGAGGAAGGGGGGGACAGGTACTTGAGGCTGTGGTGGGCAGAAGCAACACTGGGGGAGGGAACAGGGAAGAGGGGCAGACCCAAAGGAGAGCTAAGTAAGGTGGGGGCAGGCCACAGAGGGTAAGTTGCCTGCCTGCCTCCTACCACTTGCCCCCTTACTGCCTCCCACACCACCCCTCAACTGTCTGCTTCATTACTGCCCCCCACTGCCTGTCTTACTTTGTGCCCCCCCCTTCCCCACTGTCTGTCCCCATTTTCCTGCCCCATTACTGCGCCCCTCATCACCTGTCCCACTACCATCTACAGGGGGATGAATTTTATATGATCATCTAATAAATGGATATTATACATTGAGGATTATAACAAATGTGTAAATTTCCCATGTATAAAATCTAATCATTGGGGGTCATCTTAAATTTAGGGTCATCTTATATTCAGGTAAATATGGCAGTTAGGTGTTTTAGCCCGAAAACAGGTAGAAGGTGGTGTAGAAGTGCATCTATTGTACACGGAGTTAATCTATAAGGTACACTTCTACCCTGTTTTCTGTTTAACCAAAGAATGACAATGACACCCTTCCAAGACTGCATAGCAACAAGCTGTCTTAGGTACTTAGATAGTCTTCCTTAGGTACTATAGAATCTGATTCTCCCACAATTTTAAATTTGTGTGTTCAAATATCATGCCTGTGAGACAAGGAAGTATTATTACAGCTATTTAATAAGCAGGAAACAGGTGAACAGAGGAACTTGACCAAGGTCACATATGAAGTTCGTGGCTGAGGAAGTGACTGGTCTCAGATCTCTGGTGGCTAAGGATACTCGTTAGCCAGCTTTCTTCTCCTCATCTTCATTCTCTGAAGGGCCTTTTGAGTAGCACAAGCAGAGAGGAGAACACACCCAGAATTTTAAAAATTACTTATTTAAAAACTAGTCTCAGATATTTATCTATCCATTGACAGCTTTAAAATAAACATGAAAGTCTGTGTCAACTTGTACATAATGGTCCAATACAGGAGCCTAGAAGCAGGAACCTTGTAAAGGTGAAGGTGGTTAAGATTAAAGATCTTTTCTTAAAATAAGTCAGTGGCTGCATCTACCTGAGATGTTGACTGTGCAGTTGTTACTATGCAATCATTTAGTATCTGTTTAAACAAGTACTGTATAAACAAGTACTAAATTACTGGAGTTACTGTGCAGTAGCACTGCTAAATGGCTTTTAGGTGATGCTGACTGCGCAGTAGCATCACATCACGCTTCCTGCCACACAACGCTACTCTGCAGTAGTAACAAGCTGGCCAGTAAGCAGTTTCACAGCAGCGAGAAAATACTAACTAGAAATATAAGGAGGAAGATCCATAGATTTCATAAACTTTCACTGATTAATTGGGAGAAACTGAAAGAATGGCTTATGGTTGGGGCAAAAATAAAGAAAAACAATACATGATCTCCCACAGAGGCTAAAGTATGTAGACTTACTCAAATAAATACTAGTTCCCATGTTCACCAGGTTTTATATATACCCCTGGGACAGAGATTTATGCTGGAAATACAGAGAGGACAATGCGCAAGGACACTGGATTTTTAACACTCACTGTTTTTAACACTCAAACATCTAAAAGTACTTTGCCATTAAAAAAAGTTTCATCATTCCCCTGACACTAATAAAATACGAATATTACATTATATTGTTATTCATGGAATCAGACTGTAAAGTGTGATTATGGCTTTAACATCACTGCCTCATTTAAACATAAATTTCCAAAGTTTATATCAGCTAATGAGGCAACTGCATTTAAAACAGAAATGGAATATAATTTCTACCCTGCTCAGAGGAATGTTATCACTCAAACTCTGAACACAGAAGAACTAAGCACATATGGAATAAAAATATTCTTTTACAGGATAGGAAGATGCATTTTAAAAGGCAGCTTTCAAACAGATACAGAATAATATCCGAAGTCTTGCTAATATTTCAAAATAAATGAAAAGCAATACTTCTGTGTTTTTTCTTGCAATGTGAAGGCCAGCTTTGTACCACTGATGATAGAGTGCTCCTACCACTTTATTCAGTAATAAGTAATAATTTACTAAATTTAAGATTTGCAACATCATTCAAGTTTAGACACAGTTGCAGTACAATTCCATTCTTCTTTTTTTTTTTTATAAAGGTGTAAAGAAAATGACTGAGAATTTTTGTGTGTTTTTCAGAAATTTTAGGACTAGGTTTATTTGTTAGGACTAAATGCTAATTTATTCTCAAGAATCATAACTATACTGTTTGAAATCACCATATCTAAAGTTGCATAATGATTTTCATACAAAACCATCATTCTAACATGCTCCTGATTTTCCACTTTTAGTCTGGGATTTGCCTTGCCAGAAACTAATTTTGGGCCAAATTTTAGCAAAATCCCTTTAATCACATGAAGTTCTACTTGGGGCTGGGGGGGGAACCCTTTAATTTACAAAGGAAACCCTTTAAATTACAAAGTTCACTTGCTTTTGTTGTTGAAATGGATTACCATTTCAACAACAAAAGCAAGTGAACTTTGTAACTTCAAAGTAAGCTTATAAATAGACCACCTTGCAAGCCTGCATTTAGTTAACCTTAGGAAACAAGTTATTAATAAAATAGTCTTATGAATATTTGAAAATGCATGACCAAGCATCTGCTGCAGAAATTTACAATAAGCATTTAGCTGGAGATTTAAAGATGGATAAGACACACTATTAAGTTGGCAGCCAAACTGTAAACCCATTAGCTATGGAAAAAGAGGACATAAAGTTGTGCTGATAAATACAGTGAAGCTTATTAGTACTAAGTCAATGAGCAATTACCCTTGCAAGCCCTACAAAATGATTAGTGCCAAAGAAAGGTGGAAGAAGCTGTCAGTTTTTTAACCTACGTGTGCGGGTTATGGTTTTAGGACCTGACTCTAATCACTTGAGGCTCCATGGAGGTGGAATCTCTCTGCTAATGTTTACCTGCAAAATGGACACTCTTAAAACTGTACATTAAAACTTAACTTTTGCAATGCTGCCAACTTTAATATTTTTATAATAAGTCTTATAATATTTAAGGTTTTCCTTAAAATCCCAGTTCCTAGAATTACAAAAGTTCTATGAGATTTTCAATCAGGACTCATTTTCTCCGATGCCTGATGAAGGGTGTTTGCAGTTAAAGGAATTTTTTTGCAAAAATCTAGTTGGTCTAATAAAAGATATCACCTTTACTATTATCTTGTATCAGCAATAGAGCCTAAATTTCGAAAATTTGCCATGGCACACTTACGTGTAAGTTGCTTTATTGAACAAAACTTTATTTACTTTTTCATAACAACCTCGTCACTGCGATTAAATGCATATTGCTGTGTCAGGTTTATTTTAGATAATTATTTCTAACTATAAATATTATACTAACAGGTTGATGGACTGGAAGATTTCCCAGGCAGATAAAAAGAATAATAAAATCAGAATGTGTCAGATTCGGTATTTCAGTTCAATGATCTAGACTGAAACTTGCAGATGGTAATGTCCTCCTTGTACAAACAGTTCAGGTGGTATCTGCTGAAGACAGCAAGACACAGGGCATGGGTACCTGGGAACAGCATAGCAAAAGAAACAGCTGGTAACTATTTCCATATATAAAGCTCCTAGAAGATTTTAAACACCTGCTTCTTTATGATCAAACAATAAAAAAAA